TAGGGTTTAGGGTTTAAGGAATTCGTGCATCATCTTTCGTTTTCGGCATGTGGGGCAAGGGCTATGGGCTCACAGCTCCGAGGTCTAAGTGTCTGACCCCCTAAGCCTTCCCCATAAAGTACTGTAACCCTTGTAGAACCCTCTAAACCCTAAACCCCCAAAAGAACGCTTTTTCGAACCCATTGGCCCTGAGGGTTGGCGCCCTACACGACCTCTGGGCCCAAAGTCCGAAGGAACTTCCTACCTGCAAAGGGGTTTAGGGTTTAGGGACATCTCTTCGGACCCCAGAGTGCTGGCAAGGGTTATTTCCTTGATATTCCGGTAGTGCTGCTTAGTTTGGGTTGATGGCGCAGAGACCCAAAAATCTAAGGATGCAAACCCTGAACCCGCAAACCATCCAAAACTTTCACTACGTCCTTGCTGGCGCTGGGATGCTGTAGTCGAAAGTTTGGTCGCCTGCCGCCATCAGGGCACAGGAGTGTGCATTCAACCCTCCCGGATTGCCCCTGAGGCTTCATGCGCTCTGAAGACTCGTACTGTAAGCCTCGCGGGCACAAGAATCATTCTATACCCAGGGGCTCCAATGTAGTTCCTTTTGGGGTCTGTTATAGTTTTTTGGTAAGGAATTCTAGTATAAATTCTAGTATACTATCCAAAAAGGAACTACATAGGAGCCCTTGGGTAATGTAGGATCCTGATTAAGAAACCCTGGCCCCTATAACCCCAAAATACTAGGATTCATACTAAGAACCCTTAATAAAGGTGCAGGGTTTCTTAATCAGGGTCCTACATTACCCTATACTCTCCAAAATGCTGGAACTTATCGGACCCTTTGTCCTACCAGCCCTCCAAGATTCGCCCCGAGCAGCAGGCTAGAACACGTGGAACCCTAAACCCTAAACCCTAAACTCTAAACCCTAAACCCTAAACCCTAAACCCGAAACCCTGACCCTCTTCCCCATGCTTGCCCTAAGCCCGAACCCGAAAAGCTTTACGAGGAAAGCCGGGCCCGGCCCTTCAATGCAAAAGCTTAGGGTTTAGGTTTAGGGCTTAGGGTGTAGGGTTTAGGACATGTACCTGTGTCAGATCTTACAGGGATTCGTAGGTAAGTGGACAGCCACATCTGCCGACTTATGAATGAAGAACTACAGCTATGCTGTTCGTGATGACAGGACAACTCAAGCAGTCACCAGAAAAGCAACTGGAGCCCTAAACCCTAAACCCTAAAGCCACCAACCCTAAAGTCAGCTCACATGACATCACCAGGCACGAAGAAGCAGCCCTGCCAGCTGAGTGCGCGGCCTCTCTTGATGTAGGATGCCATGCAGAGCTGATCCACCTTTCTCAGGGTCGGATGTGACTACGGACGTCGCGACCGAAATAAAACCAATACATAACCAACATTGTGGGGTTCATGCTTTGACTTCTTTACATAACTCCGTAAGAGGGCAGGTTACTTAGGGTTACGGCTAAGGTGATCCATACACCGTTGTGTCACCAATGATGTCGCCCCCCCCCCCCCCCCCCCCCGCCCAAACCCACCTCCTGCTGCACAAGAACGGAATCAAAAGTGACGCATCTCAACAAGCTGAAAACTTTAATCCGTACGCTGTTTATTCCACTATAAGAAGACCCTGATTTTTGTTCCAGAGTTACAAGGAGCCGTAAGGAATAGGATTTACTANNCCTAAACCCTAAACTCTAAACCTTTCAATCCCTCTATTAAACAGGGGAAGTCCTCAAATTGTGCCAGGGCGCATAGCTGCCACGGGAGATGCTGTTGATGCGGAAGCTTCGAAGGCTAATCCCCTTGCCTCAGTCCGTTTTGGAAGGGTTTAGGGTTTAGGGTCAGTCCGTTTTGGAAGGTTTGTAGGCCCAGACATTCTAATATCCGATTATCCCTTCAGTATAAGGAATATACTTCAGTTCAGTCTTATTAGGGAACAGGAGATTGGAAGGACCAGTTTTGGCTTTAGGGCTTGGAGACAAGGTTCCAATTCGCTATCCACATCTGTCTCTATTTACCTTATGTCTACCTACACTACGCCTATACAGTATACGTACCTGGCCGCATGGCTATGTACATACCCTCACATGAAGCGATACGGAGAATCATCAGAAACAAAACCAAACTGATGCTAAAACTCTAGAACCCACAACTTGACAACCCTTAACCCTAAACCCTAAAACCCACAACCCCGAACCCTGAGCCCCTAAGCAACACCGGAAACACATGCAACAAACACACCGATCACTGGCCCAGCGGCTGCCGAAGCCCCAATTCTTCTTTTCGCTCCTCGCAAGAGCGTCTTTGGAGGATCCGAGATTTCAGAATTTATTAGGGGTTAGGGTGTAGTTAGGGTGTAGGGTTTATGGCCTGAGCGAGTTGGGGGTTTCGACTGAACTACGTGTCACCATGACGCCATGTGTCTGCTAATGCGGCATTCGAGACCTGCTTGAACGCATACTGAACATGAGGAACTACGAGACCGCCCAAAGGGTACTGAGTATCCGCAAGACACCGCGTTGAAGGGCGACCTTACACCCTATAATTGCAAACCCCTAATCACGCCCAAAGCTCCAGCAGCCAAAAAGCCCGAAAGACCGAAAAAGCTAAGCCTAAACCCTACCCTTAGGCTGCATTGTAGGTCCGTTCTGGGATTACCTTATATGTAGGAGCCTAAGTATAAACCACCAATAGGAACTGCAATGGAGCCTATGAGTATACCCTCTTCCCGTCAAGCCACAGCTTTGACGACCCATCCAGTTGTCGTATTGAGCCTGAGAGGAGACCCCCCGCTTGCTTCCCCTGCCCCGAAGGGTCCATTTGCTTGACTTGAAAGATTTAGGTTTGAGGGTTTAGGGTTCAGGGTTTAGGATTTATAGTTTAAACGACGAAAATTCGATATAATTCTACGCGGATTCGATCAGCTCTGTGTAGGAATTCTTTACTCTATATAAGTGTCGTATGAGCGGCTGTGCGGGCTCTGCACTGCAGTTCTGTAGCGGTGCGGGTTTAGGTGGGTTGCGTTTAGGGCTTGAGGCCTTCTCCCTAAAGGGTCCGTGCGTCAGGTTCGCATCTAACTCTCGACAATTGAAGACATGGATGTGGGCTTCAGGGCCTTGATTGGGCCGAACTAGTTAGAATCGGGTTTAGGGTCTAGGGGTTCTAGGGTTCTAGGGTTTAGGGTTTAGGGGTTATAGGGTTTAGGGTTCAGGGGGTTATTCGGTCTTCCCTACTGGGTTGCCAGTAGTTTGCAATGGTTTTCTAAGGCTCGAGGAAAGTAGGTTGAACGCATTTCGGGGGTTTTTGGCAGCAGGCCCTTGCTGAACAAATTTAGGGACTTTAGGGGCTCATTCCGCGGGTTCAAGACTGATTACGGCTCAGGGGTTTCGGTTTAGGTTCAGCTTTCGGGGGTGGGGGTCTTCGGAGTCCAACCAGGATGCATTTAGACTTGAAGTAGAAGTTCAAAAGGACCCTAAACCCTAAACCCTAAACCCCTAAACCCTAAACCCTAAACCCGGAAAGCCGCATTCAGCAACTCTTGGGGGATCGCTTGTGTGTGTTGGGATGGACTTGGAGCTCAGATCCGGTACTCTTCGCAGACTCAGAGGGGTATAGTGGTGTAGGGTTTAGGGTTTAGAGGGTTTAGGGTTTAGTGGTGTCATCGGGGTATGTTTGCTCGCCACAGTAGCAATCATTGAAAGCAGCGATTCTGCGCGGCACCAGGCGCTCAACAGCACGACCATCCTTCGGGCATAACCCTTCTAGATTATAAATCCCTAGAGGCCACAACCCTAGACACTACGCCTAAATAAGCCCAAAAAACCATAAACCCCTCAACCTGAAGCCTTAAAATCCTGAGCACTACACTTTTAAACCTTAGATTAAAGAACAAGACCTTAAACAATAAACCCGTATATAACCCTGACGCCCTATACTCTAAAACAAAACCCTGTCAGCATCTGTCAGTCCTACAACCCTGCAACCCCCAGACTTCCATTGGTTTACGTAATTAAGCTGCTTGGTTCTGTCTGAGGAGCCTAACGTCAGATAACATCGTGAGGGAGGCTTGCTAGTTCCCATGTTATATGCCCTCGCAATTTCCACATTAGCAAAGTTCCCTAAATCCTAAACCCTAAACCCTGAACCGTTCCGTAACCTCAACGATCCAGGTCTTAGGCATTCCGCAGAGGCTTGAAGGCCCGAAGGTCCTGCAGATCCAGCTAGTCTACTGGTTTAGGGGTTTAGGGCTCATAGCACTTGCAAGGTTTAGGGTTTATGTTGAAATGCTTCTCACTGCATGC